CCGTCCCTCCCCAGCCCCACCCCCTCCTTCCCCGTAGCCCCACCCCTACTTCCCCCTACGTCCCACCTCCCTCCCTCCCCCTACGTCCCACCCCCTCCCTCCCCCCAGCCCCACCCTCCTTCCTCCCGCCAGTCCCACCCCCTCCCTCATTCTCTCTGGGTGGTTGCCCTGGGTCCTATCTGGCCATTCCCTAAGCCTAAGGCAGATTCAGTCTCATGAAATCGACTCCAGTACTCGTTTCAAATCCACGCGTACCTTTATTTCACAGAAGACAAATGTGTTTGAGAAATTCAAGTAAAAATACCAAAATTTTAAAGCCTTGTATTTTTGATAGGAAGGAAGGCCTAGTGAAAAGGACTTCCGTCTAGAGTATTTTTATAAATCACACCCAGTTTCTAAAGCCAGCTTTTTTTCTATCCATTAAGTTCTTTCAGCCTGGATAAAACTGCATTTTCCTAAGGAAACTGGATTCCTTGTGAACTGCCGTAACTTTCAGGATTTTTGCAGAGAGGGACACAAAGCTGTGAGCTGGCTGTCTGGGGGACACTGTCAGGGCCCTAGTGCTGGCACAATACTGACCTGGAAGGGGGGATGCAGTAAGACAGGCCAGAGGATTTCCTTCTCTGAGCACATTCTCCCTGAATAGCACCTCGGCAATCATTTTTACAAGGTGATATTGTAGCACAATGGTTACTCAGACTGCAATGAAAATTCATGGCCAGAAGCAGAGGGAAACTGAGGGTCAGTCTGCTCAGGTGGCAACTGACACCTTGGGGGTTGTACTAGTCAGCACCAGCTGCTGTAATAAATACCACGGACTGGGTGGCTTAAACAGCAAAGATTTATTTGTCGCAGTGCTGGAGACTGGAAGTCCAAGATCAAGGTGCCAGCCAATTGAGATTCTGGTGAGAGCCCTCTTCCTAGCTTGCAGATGGGGCCACCTTCTCACTGTGTCCTCACATGACAGAGAGAGAGGACACAATCTGCCTGGTGTCTCTTCATACCAGGGCACTGATCCTAACAGATCAGGGCTCCACCCTACGGCCTCACTGAACCCTAAATACGTACTTATAGGCACCATCTCCAAATACAGTCATATTTGAGGTTAGGTTTTCAACATATTGAGACAGGAGGGAAGAGGGCAGGGCACAACCATTAAAAAAGCATGACACAGCCATTGAGGATATGACATAAACTGCTGAGAACCAACTGGGCCCAAGATGGTGGAAGATTTGACTTCCAGTAGACCTTGAGCCTCATTATATGATCATTGTAATACATTCGCTGCTAAATGACATACCCACAGGTGCCATGACAGATCCCAGGCTGACTATTAAAGGCCAAAAAGTGGGCAGGGGGCCACATTCCCTCCCCTCCTCCAAACAGTTGGAATAATCCTCCCACTTGTTAACATCCGAAATTACCCAGCCCGGGGGGGGGGGGGTGTAGCTCACTTGGAAGAGCGCATGCGTAGCTTAGCGTGCACGAGGCCCTGGGTTCAGTCCCCAGTACCTCCTCTAAAAATAAATAAACCTGATTACCTCCCCTCCACTGCCAAAATTAAATAATTAAATAATACAATAATAAATTAATTAAATATAAAAAAATTTTAAAAATTACCCAGCCCATAAAAACCACTCTCAACACCTTGGGGACTCTCTCCCTTCTGAAACAGACCACATTCTGTCTATGGAGCCTGTATCTCCCTAAATAAACTTGCCTTCACTTTACTATGGCTCACTCTTGAATTCTTTCCTGCACAAGGCAAGAACCTACTCTCATGTAACAATATGATTTTGGGGGGGGGTTGGGGGGGATACAATTTGGTCCCCAGAAGTGGTCAGTGAAACATTCAGGAATGAGGGTACCCTCAGAGGTGTCTGCTGTCCTTCCAAAGCCCCAGGCCCCAGCCTCTGGCTTGCCCACCCCTAGGCGCCTCCCCAGCTTAGAAGCTGGCTGTGCTTGGGCCACATCACCCGAGGGCAGGGGGGACACCCCTGAGCCACGGTGCAGGAGCCCAGGCTGGCAGAGCTGCCTGGACAGCTGTCTTTCTGGGGAGCCCAACGGTCAGGCCCTGGATGAGCCTGGGGGAGGAGAAGGAGCCGCAGAGAGAATAACAAATGTCATCTGTTACTCAGCAGAAGCATGACGCCTCCTGGGGTGAGGACCCAGGAGCCTTCCCGAGTGTGTGCTTGGGCAGAATGCCTCATGCACTTCACAGGTTAAACCACTGAAACGTGAGGGCCTCTGCATGCCTGGCCTGTGATGTGGAGAAAGTTCACCATCTGTGAAGGCCAGGTTAATCTGCCAATTAAAAAACACTTGGGAATTGTCTAACATTATGAAGAGCTCCAATTACAGGCACAGAACGGTCTCCCAGCCCTTTCTTCTTCCTTGTGCACCCTGGAAAGTGTTGTGGTCTCCACTCCTGCTCCCCCTAGTCTGCACTCCCACCCCCAGCCCTGGCTGCGGTCCTTTCTCAGCCTTCGTTTTTAGAGCCATGAGTGGTAATGACCTTCAAACCTCAGGGGACATTCTTCCATTGTCAGAGAATCCAGCCACGCACTCGGGGCTGTCCCGACTCAAGATTTCATTCTTCTAGCGATGAGTCACTGCTGCCATCTTGTTCCCATGCTTCCTGCAAGGAGGTAAGGCCAGGAAAAGAAAGGAGGGCGGGGTGCCCGGCCAGCTCCTGTAGCACCTGCAGGCCTGGGTGCGCTCTGGCCATAAAAGTCTGTGGAGGATGGAGGAGGCAGGAAGGGGAACCATCCTGTTGTCCTGAACAGGGGCAAAAACCATGCCTCTGGGAGGGCAGGAGGGTCACATGGGGCCACACGGCCCTCTAGGGAGGGGGCCCAGGACAGTGCCGCGAACACAACGGGCTTTGGGCTCCAACAGGCCTGGCTCTGAAGTCCAGACCCACTGCTTCTAGCATCCTGGACATGCTCCCCAGCCTCCTGGAACCCCTTTTTCCTCACTTTCTGCTCCTTCAAAGGGTCATAACGGAGGCTCAGGGACATGACCTGCACAGACCACCCAGAGCAGCGCCTGGCATCAAACAGGAGCCGGGCACTGAGGAGGCTTCCTCTTTCTCTATCAGATCTTCCTTCTCTCCTTCCTCCTCCTAACAGGCTCACCACACAAGGCCTCAGAAAGGCTCGGCAGCATCCAGCCACCTCGCAAAGGCAGCCTGCCACACACACAAAGGGGTGCTCCTCACTTGGAAACAGAACCCCCTGAGGGAAACTCTGGAAACAGTGCACCTCGCTGGCTCCAGGGGGGACCTCAACTCTCTTGTCTGTTGTCTCTCCACTCTGTTTGGCAATGATTTATTAGTAATTCTCACTTCTCAGATTCATGGCTAGAATCTGAAATCTTTTAAAAAGGCAGCTCTTTCCATCATGGGCTCCATAATCATCATTCGGTATTTATGTCCGCGGCCTTCCTCCAGACACCATGTGTCTCCTTCAGTCTGGAAAGCGGAAGGCTGACAGGGGCTGCTGGAGGCCCACAAAGCCCCACGGGACGCGCAGGGCTCGGGAGCAAGTCCTTGTTCACTCCATCCTGGAAGCGCTGGTTGGGGAAGGGGCTGGTGACCTTGAAACAAGAGGGCTTTCAGGTTACGTACGTGAAAGGAATCTATTTCGGTTCCAGCAAGTAATAAACTCCCAGGACTCATTACCCCAGAGGGAGTGGAGGGTAAGCACAGAACGTACGTCAACCGAAGTTTCAGGTAAATTCATGGTTGGCTGCTCTCCGTGTGGTGTGTCCCATGACCCCGCGACCTTGCCACCAGGAAGGACATCCAGCATCTGGCAGGACCTAAAGAACTCTGTCCCCTTGGGCCTTGGTTTTTGGCCTGTGCAGTAATTCATACGCCCCTGGGACTGTCCTGGATTTCCTAGATTTGTGATTTTTTAATGTCATTGATCTGAATTGCAGGAGAGAGGAGGTAGCAATCCTGGAGAAAGGGGATTGAATCAACAGTGGGGTAAGACTCTTCCAGGCAGCATACCTTACAGTAATTTCTTTTTCTTGCCTAAAATTCCGGAGGCCTACACCCTTTTGAGACTGCAGCAGTTTCCTAAGAGCATGGAGCATTTGCATTGGAAGGGAGTCGCTGGACCATTCCACTTACTGCAGTTTCTGCCCTGAACAGTTTTGTGCAATAGCAATTAGATTCAGAAATAGAAACAGTGATGATGCTCAAAATGCAGTTGCTGAGCTAAGTATCTTTGAAGCAAAAAAGCCTATATACCTAAGGACTGAACATTTCCTCATTTATGCAACAAATATTTTGAGCACCAATTTTGAGCTATGTGCTTAGGATACAAAGATGAATAAGACATAAAAATATTTCTACCTTCTGAGAGGCCAGCCAGTGGGGAAAACAGGCAAACAGCTCCCATATTGCAGGTGTTACAGGGGCAGGGGAACGGGGGTCCACCTCTATCTGCGGGAGTCAGGATTTGAAGCACCGCCAGGCATTCTCTGATGGAGGTAAGAAGAGGGAGAGAGGGATTCATGCGGATAAGAGAGTGTGGAACAGTTGAAGTGCTCAAGCTCACTATGGGTGGAGCTCAGGCTACCTGAGACAAAGAGGCAGGAGGTGAGTCCAGAAAGAAGACATTGAGGCTGGTGGTCCAGACTAAGCAGCAGGGTGCTGATTTTGGAAGGGAAGCTGGAAAGTGGTATGATCAAATTCCAACTGTAGGAAGATCATCATGAGATGACCTAGATGAAGATGAGGCTATGAGCAAGGACAGGAGTAAGCAGTGACTGGGATTTGCAGGAGAGCAATGACTGGGGACCAAAACAAAGCCTTAAGGTTGTTCCAAAGGTAGGCACCATGGGCATACGGGGGAGGGAGAAAAGAGGGGGAGCTCCGGGATGACTTCCTGGTTTCTTTGAGTGGATGGAGGTACCAGTCATTGGCTTGTACCTGGGTGCTAAGGGGAAAATGTGCTGGAGAAGACAATGATTACATTTTTGATAGGCTGCTTTTGCTTTTTAAATGAGGCAGTCAAACTGAGGTACCCCTCAGGTGATGTGTATAGCAATCCAAGTCTCAGAGAGAGGTGTGGTCTGGAGATTGCGGGTCCCAGGGACCGCAGCAGGTGGAGATGAAAGCTTGCCTAGGGAGAGTACAAACATGGACAGAGGAGCAAACTAAGGGTGCTGCACCAGAGAACGCCAAGGGCAGAGGAAAGTGAGCTCCACAAGGAGAGCAAGCAAAGAGGAGACAGGCTTATCAGAAAACAAAGGAAGGGTGACTTCAGAAGAAAGGGGAAGTGTTTGAAGGTGTTGAATGATGCAAAGGTCAAGGAATGTAAGGAGTGAAAAGGAGTCATCAGATCTGGCACCTGGGTCCCTACTGCTGACCAGGTGGAAGATGATTCTGTAGGAGATGCTGGGAGAAGCCAGAGGCAGTAGGTAAAGAAGTGAATGAAATGCAGGAAGTGGTGATAGTAGGAAGACTATTCCAGAAACTCAGCTAGGAAGGGAAGGAGAGAGCTTGGAGGATTCCCCAAGGAGGAAAGTTCAGTAGAGGAAACTAGAATATAATGATTTGCATAGGAAAAAGGCTTTAAAGGAGATTTAAGAGAGACAAAATTGATGGAGCAAGCATGTAGAAGATGCTCAGAGCTGAGCTCAGCTGTCATGTGCTCCGTTTTCCTTCCCTGTTCCATCACTTCTCTGCAACCCTGTGACATCCACTTGGACCACTCATCCAACATCTTCAGACACTGCTTTACAGCATGTTTATTTGAATGTATATCTTATCTTCTGTAATTAATTTTGTGTCTCTTTCAGGTCAGGAACTCTGTCTTAAACATTTTTGTTGTAATCCATGGAGCTTTTTTTTAAAAATAGAACTGAGTTTCACAGTATTTTTTCAGTTGAGGTGTAACTTACACTGAAGAACACAAAGAGTGTAGCTTTATGAATTTTTGTGTATGTATGTATGTATGTATATGTCCATGAAGCCAACGACTCCAACCTACAGCATACTTTCAGCACACTTGAAGGCTCTCTCGTGGCCCCACCCAGACAGTATCCCTCACAGAAGTAACCATCCTCTGACCTCTATTGCTATAGAGTTTTGCCTGTTCTTTGTCTTCTTATAAATAGGATCACATGATGTATGTTCTTTGGTATCTAATTTCTTTCTCTCAGTAATGTGTCTTTTATTGTGTGCAAGGGTTAGCGAGTTCTTTTTTATTGCTATGAAGTATTCCACTATGGAAATACATATCACAGTTTTTCTATCTGTTGATAGATACTAATGTCTTTTGCAATCTGGGGCTATTAGAAATAGTGCTGCCACAAACATTCTTGGCTACATGCATTGGGGTCATAGCACTCATTCTGTTGGGTGTATGTCCAAGAATGGTATCGCAGGGTAACAGGCTGGACGTTTGTTCAGCTTCAGTAGATGCTGCCAAAGTGTTTGTGCCAATTTATATTCCCTTGCACTGTATGAATGCTCTGGCTCTACAGTATTTTTAAATAAAATGCAATTCAATAAGGAATGCTTAAAATATTGAAAAGAGCAACAGCTTTCAAGAACCCTCAACACTTCAGAAGTATCTGTCAATATGTTAATGATTACTGTGTAAATAACAGGTCATGCTTCTATCCACTAAGGCTTCCATCATAGAACCCTGTGTTGGCCTAGTTTGAATTGAGGTAAGTTCTTATATAGAAGTGAATTTCTTTATTTTTATAATGTATCATTGTCACTAATTTTAAAAAGCTTTCTCACCTCACATTCATGTTCATGAGACTTTATTTTAATGCTCAATTATGCATCTGAGTTTTCTGGAAACAGGCAGAACTGCCTTATCCTAACATGATTTATGTGTCTTGCTGTCTCAGGAGTCAGCATGAATTCGATGATTTATTCATTTGTTCACTCCGTAAATATACACTGAGCAGCTACTCCGTGCCGGGCACCATACTGGGCGCTGGGAGGTAGGGAAAGGGGGATATAAAGAATTCAGATTCACCAAAAAACTAAAAATAGAGTTACCATATGATCCAGCAATCTCCCTCCTGGGCATATAGCCAGAGAAAACACTAATTTGAAAATATGCATGCACCTCAATGTTCACAGCAGCACTATTTACAATAGCCAAGGGGGAAGGGTATAGCTCAGTGGTAGAGCACATGCTTAATATGCACAAGGTCCTGGGTTCAATCCCCAGTACCTCCATTAAAATAAATAAATATAAATAAATAACCTAATTATCTCCTCCCTAAAAAAATTAAAATACAATAGCCAAGGCATGGAAGCAGCCTAAATATCCATCAGCAGATGACTGGATAAAGATGTGAGATATGTGTGTGAGTGTGTGTATACGCGCGTGTGTGCACGCGCCTGAGTGTGTGGTAGAATACTACTCAGCCATAAAAAAGAGTCAAACAATGCCATTTGCAGCAATATGGGATGGGCCTAGAGATGACCATTCTAAGTGAAGTAAGTCATACCGAGAAAGACAAATATCATATGCCACTTATATATGGAATCTAAAAAGTGATACAAATTAGCTTATTTACAAGATAGAAACACTCACAGACATAGAAAACAAACGTATGATTACAAAAGGGGAGGGAAAAGGATAATTTAGGGGTTTGGGATTAGCAGATACAAACTACTATATATAAAATAAACAACAAGGTTCTGCTGTATAGCACAGGGAAGTATATTCAATATCTTGTAATAACTTATAATGAAAAAGACTGTGTATATTTATGTGTGTGTGTGTGTGTGTGTGTGTATGAATCACTATGCTGTACAGCAGAAAGTAATACAACATCATAAAACAACTATATTTCAATTTAAAAAAATCAGGAGAAAAAAAAGAATCCTCAGAATCCTCAGTTATGTGGATTCTGCCCTCAAAGAACTTGGTCTAGAAGAAGACATGGATATAAAGAACTAAAATGCAGTGTAGAAAGTTAGCAGGTCTCAAATTTCATTGAAAGTTTTTCTACTAGGGCAAAGCTGGTACCAACTTAGGTGGAACTTTAGCAACAGAAACTGTCATGTAATAGGTCAGTTGTCATCTGTCTGAGTGGAGACAAGCAGGTCCTCTGAAGGCAAATCTTTTTTCTCAAGTCACTTGAGTATTCCCTCAATGTAAGCTTCATAGGCACCCATTATCTAGAGGGGAAAGAAGTGACAGGAACTTTTCTGTGTTTGACAAAGCCTGATCTTTTCAATACCCCTAGGAAGAAATTAGACCAAATTGCTTAAAGTCAAAGAACCTCTTAGAACCTAGAAGTCCTAGATCCTGACATGTTTATCATCTTTCCAATTATTGATATGGTTTGAAATGGTGTTAGCTGGTCAGCAAAGGGTCCAAGAACCCCCAAGAGAAAGTCATTAAGCTCAATGCTAGGCCTAGATGGTTGACACAGGAGTGCTGATTCTGGCCCAGTGAGCAACGAAGGACAGAAGCCTCACTCTTTGGACCCCCCACCCCATGCCAGCACAAAGGACCTACTCTGGGAACAGCAGCTGAGTATGTGAGTGTGGCCCTGGAATCCAAACAGAGAACATCTTTAGCTGAAAATAACTTGGGAGACAGTGGGATGTGAATATTTAAAAGCTGAATTCCTATTCATACTCCAGGCTTCATACCAATTATAGGCTTAGCAGATATTGTTGGGTATTCTAGCAGTTTTCATCCCATATTCCCTCCAGATTCCTTCTATTTCTTGTGCACATGGGCTTCTGAGACCTTTCTACACGAAAATTTTCAGGGAAAAGGGACTGCTTTGTATATTCTGCCTCTAAGTCCTTCACGGGCTACTTCAGCTCTTAGGAGCAGGTCACAGTGGAGTACTTCTGTAGGGGTGAACCAAGCTCAGCAAGCAAAGAGTAGAGAAGAGCACATGTTGAGAATATGGGCCAAGCTTAATTCGACATTCTATCCATGGTTTGCAGAGACAATAGAGTGACTCTGGGCAGCTCCAGCATGTCTACCTCTTAACTGGTGGTATTCCAATCTGGGCCACTGCCCTCTGTGGTTGGTGTACAGTGTCATTCTGGGATCTTTTTTCTCCAGCCTCCTGGAAATAACTTTGACTTCTCTCCTGTGTTGAAATTTCTGTTCCTATTATACCTTTCCCTTCCTTGGGAAGGTTGCATGGGAAATACGTTTTTTTGAGACACTGTATGTCAGATGTCTTTCTTCTATCTTGGTACATTTTGGATAATTTGGCTGGGTATAGAACTCTAAGTTGGAGAGCATTTCCTTTCAGAATTTTAAATACATTGCCTCATTTTCTTTTTGTTTCCAGGGATGCTACTGAGGAGTCCAAAGTTATTTCTAATTTCTTATTCTTTTTATGTGACTTTCTTCTTTCTCTCAAATTGCATAGACTCTATTTCCACCAATTTTTTGAAAATGTCCAATGAGGAGCCTAACTGTGGATCTATTGTTTTCCAAAGTGTTGACTATTTCATGTAGCCTTTGAAACTG